TGCAATCACAAATGGTCTTTTAAGAGCAGTTATGGAGCTAGAACAAGAAGGAGCAGGAGACACGAACAGACGCGGATTTGGGATTTAAACTCTATGAGTTCAACATTTGTGGTTCTTAGAGCATTGAACACATAATATGTTTAAAGTTATGGGCTAAGATGAACCCGATATAACATAGTTGCATCCAACCTCAACATGAAGTAATGACAACCGCATAGTAGGTACTGAACTCTGGCTTTAGCTGTTGGGATCTGTATCTTCTGTTTCGTTTCATGTTATAGATAGTTTTTTATTTGGAAAAAATTTAACAATTTAATCCAAGAAAACCGTCACCAAACAGAAATGGGACATCTTCAACACTCTGCAATGGCATTCTGAATAACAGCAGATGCCTTTGCGGAGTGTTAAAGATGTTCTATTTCTATTCGATGATGGTTTCCTAGTATATGCTTATTACATCCTGTCAAACTTCTCTTTTTATTTGTGTCCTTCAATAGTGAAAACAAAGTCTTGTTTATAAAGAAAAGGCTAGAAATGCACATGCAATTATGCTCCTTCAAGTTAGTAGGTGAATTTGATTTTTAGGTGAAATTAGAGGGGGAAAACATTTTTCACCCTATTTCTAATAGCATAAAAATCTTGATTAAAATAAAAGCTCCTCGGCGAACGAAAGTTCTTTTTTATGATTGTTTGCTAGCACTAAACAAAAACAAAAAAAAAAAAGATTAAAAGGAGAAGTCAGAGCACGCGACGTGCAAAATTTATGACAAACAAAAATTTCATATTTCCTTAGACATGGAAAGTAATTAATATCATCATAGTAGTAATTAACATAATGTCTCGAACCCACCAGGTCCTCCATAAAATGCCATATGCTGATACTTTCCACCTCTCCAATGTGGTACATCCATAACACCATACCAATCAGAATCATCAACACGTACAGTCGTTTTGTAATTTGGATCCTACACTAAGTACAGTAATTAGGATCTCCAATAGGAAAACGCCTGGTGGACTGTATGCTACTCCTCCCCAATCAACACTAGTAGCAAAGCTTGCCAAGTTAGTGAAAATCCTTTGAGGCCAAAAACCAACTTGTTCGTTGCTTTCACCAAACAAAAGCCACCAGTTTTCATCGGCTAGATCCTTTTTAGAAAGAAATGTCTAATATTACTAATTTGTACCTTTCAATTCTAATCAATGCAATTGTAAATACGGGTAAGGTCTAATGGTAAGCACCCTCCACTTCCAACCAAGAAGTTGTGAGTTCGAGTCATCCCAAGAGCAAGGTGGGAAGTTCTTGGAGGGAGGGAGACGAGGGTCTATTAGAAATAGCCTCTCTACCCCAGGGTAGGGGTAAGGTCTGTGTACACACTACCCTCCCTAGACCCCCACTAGTGGGATTATACTAGGTTATTGTTGTTTGCAATTATAAATACGAAAACCGACTCAAAACTTGAAAATAATTCTGCAAAAGAAGAAAAAACATACTCATTCGATGAACATTGCGATCTCCAATACTCTTTTATCTCCACGTTGTGTAACCGGATCAAAGACCCCATCAACAGGGTACTTACTACTTACAATGACAAATCCAGGGCATAACGTGTTGAAGCGATGTGTATTACCAGCCTAGTAAATGTAAAATATGCATTAACGCTTCTCAATCGAGGTATTACATAGCTATAAATATGTACTACTTTCATGATCACAAAACAAAAATCATTAAAGTACACAAATTACCTGAAAATGTACAAAATATCTAGTCTTATTGTCCCCGTATAGTGTTGAATCCACCCGAAACATAAAATAGATTTATCATGGTTGAATGGGAGCTCATGTTATAGGTTCTAACTTACATCCTAAAGGTCAATAGTTAATCTCATCTCCTAGAAAATAAAAAGAAAACAAGCTATCACAAATAAACAAAAATAATTAAATTATAAATGAACAAGTTGATAAACTTACTCTCCACCCAGCTTGTAAACTATCTGATCCTTTCTGGATTTTTAGTCGACATGCAGTGTGCTGCTGACTTTCAATATGAGGATTCCATAAACTAGCTGACATTCCAGCACCCGCAAACTTATTATTTGTGTCATTTGGAATTTGAACTATTGCGAGCTGAATATAATAAATGAAATTTTTTAATCAACTTACAAAACCGAAAAATGAGAAGATGATAAATATTCATGTTTATTTACCTTGTATCCCTGTGAGGATATGGAACTTCTCTTTGGCTCACTACTGTTGTTACTCTGCATTGAACCAACAGAATATATATGATATGCTACGATGAAGGAAGACTTAACTTTTTTTTTTACATGAACCCCTTTTTCTTGGTACAATTATATTGATGCTTAAACTATTAGATTCTAACAAATGAAATCAGTGATTCTTTTTTTTCTGGAAATGAATTATCAAGATAGGCAATGATTTGGGTCACATTATCTTACATTACTCAATGGAGCTTCATATGCGATAGCGGCGGAATATGTCTTTGTCTAATAAGATCATCTTTGGTAATTCTTTTAAGAGGAACAGTTTCGAAAGGATAACCTCTTTCCTTTAACCATATCCCTGATGACTCATTATCTTCATGAGCTGCTGACATATCTGAATTTTGTAGTGTGCTAGCTAAAGTAAGTTTTATCTGTCAATCAAAAACTTAAATATGTGTTATCAACAATTCTAAATTATTATTAAATAGTTGAAAGTAAAATGAAAAGAGTAAACATACCTTAGGATGAATATCGTGATTCTTTAACAACGGATGATCAAATGCAGGTTGTTTATAGAAATTCATGCAATCATATGTATCCCCATATTTTTTCTGTGACCCAAAACATCGTAAAATAAGTAATCTTCAGGTACAAAAATATGGAATTGAGGAATATGTATATTTGTTTCTACAAAAGTAATGTCGGCACACTAAGAAAACAATCACTCAAAACACTTGAGAATACATTGACTTTCAGCCAACATACATACCTTAATTGTTTTGACTGCTGGCTTGTTCAAAAGTTTAAGTTGCTTCTCCAACTCTGAATCCTCTAGTTTGGATAACTTTTTTTCTCCTTGAACTCCGTTATAACTCAAAAGAAAATATAACACTAGCAGAGTTTGTTGAACTTGAACAATCCATTGACGAATCAACATAGCCTGAGTCTGTTAAAATTATCTCTATGGGCATGAATGCTTAATATTTATAGATACAAAAAACTAGTAATATTTAATAAACAAAATTAATTAATTGAACTTACTTGATTTACTAGATGTACGAGATTTGAAGTTTTTGAGCATCTATCATTTTTCCTGCTAAGAGGAAAATGCTATATAGAGGAGTAGACGAGTTTTAAAATGGGTATTATATGTGATATTAAATCACAAAATTATTAAAGCAGAATCAACCAAATCTAGGGAAGATTTATGGTCAATGAATGCTGAATGTTCTCTTCTTAATATATAATCCAAAGATAATCTGGCCATAGATTACCAGTAAATTTAATTGAATCTACAGACGATTTCTGTTAATTAAGCTCTGTTCAATTCTAAGTGATATTCAAAAAGACACTCTGACCATAGATTATAAAAATTTGGGTAAATTCACTTGCCCCTTTAACTTTGCCTAGTGAACCTCATTTCCCTCCTAAACTATTTTTTTCATCAATCATCCCTCGAGCTTTGTTCTTTCAAAGAACTTAGATTATGTTAATCTTGCTAGTAATATATTCAAACTGTCTTTTTGGGTTTTTTCTTAGAGGCAAGCTATAAATTTTATTGACATAAATCTTTGTAGATTTTGGTGATCCTCCTCTAATAATTACATTAACTCTAATATCTTGTATAATAGCCATTCACAACTCCTTTATCTTGATCTGTATATAAGATCTTTCTGAAAGAAAAAGTGATAGTTTCTGACAAATTTACTCACTCACAGGCCTAGCAAATAAAGTAGGTGCTCTGTTTAATGCTATTTTCTTGCTTCGTTAATTAATTTATACTAGTGTTAGAACCCGCGCGATGCGCGGATAATTTAACAGAATATTAATTTTGTAAAGTTATGACCTAATATATTAAATTATTTTAATAAATATTAGTTATTATTTTATTATTTCATGTAGTGTACAAANAACTCCAACTTGAAACTACTCCCCAATGTCTCTATATAACAAAGTCTAAGAAAATAAGGAAAGCAATACAACAATAATAGAAGGGGACTCCGAAGTCTGCAGACGCTGGCAGATATACCTCTAAGTCTCCGTGCACAGGTACTCACTGATGTCTAGGCTGGTAAGAAGTACCTGCATCTGCACAAAATAATGTGCAGAAGTTTAGTATGAGTACACCACAACGGTACCTAGTAAGTGCCAAGCATAAGACTCTGAGGAACCCTGGCGTAGCTGCTCAAACTCTGCGCGCCATGCATCTCTAAGACTCTGAGGAACATACTCCCTTAAGAACTTATCTGAAAATTGAGTCCAAGTAAGTGAAGATGCCTCAGCCGTACTATCCAACTCATATGCCCGCCACCACTGGTAGGCTGCTCCTCTAAACTGGAATGTCGTGTAAGAAACCCCACTGGAATCCACAATACCCATAGTACGAAGGATACGGTGACATTCTTCTAGAAAACCCTGAGCATCCTCTGAAGCTAAACTGCTGAAAGTGGGAGGGTGATATTTCTTATACCTCTTGAGCCTGAGCTGCTCCCATCTGAAACTGTTGTCCTAATCTAAGGCAGAATTGGGATAACTGGCTGTACTGGTATAACCTCTGGGGCATGGTCAACTTGGGCCCATGGCTCTGGAGTACGGGCGGCGGGCGTTTGTGCTCCTCCCCTAGCTTGAGATGTGGCAAGAGCAAGTGGAATTAACCCTGCCTGAGCTAAAGTGCCAAACATGCTGAAAAACTGGGCAAGAGTCTCCTGAAGTGCAGGAGTAGTAACAGGCGTCTCAGGTGCCTGCTCTCCAACTAGAGCTACCGGTGGCTCTGGTGTAGCAGCTCGTGAAGGAGCTCTGGCTGCACCACGTGGTCTTCCTCGGCCTCTGGTTCGGCCTCTGCCCTGACCTCGACCTCTTGCGGCTCCAACAGGGGATGCGGGTGTTTGATCATCGGATCCAGTTGTGCGTGTCCTCACCATCTGTGAGAGAATAGAAAGACAATTATTTAGAACTTTGAAATCAACAAAGGCGCACGATAAGGAATCAAAGAAGTGATGTCACGACCCAAAATTTTCCACCGACGGGACCGTGATGGCGCCTAACATTTCACTTGCTAGGCAAGCCAACGTTAGAGAATCATTAAAATAATTTCTTATTCCCATTCAGTAATTAACAATAATTAGCTAAGATGAAATATAATAAGTGCGGAATATCATAAATCTGTATTAATTACTCCCACCCGGATCTGGAGTCACAATTCACGAGCATTCTAGAATTTACTACAAGTAATAGTCTGAAAGAAATACAATTGTCTGAATGAAAGAAAACAGTAGGACATAAAATATAGATAGGGACTTCAAGGTCTGTGAATGCAGACAGATCTACCTTGAATCTCCGGATAGCAGACCAATAGCAAAATCTTGATCAACCTGAGCCGGTATCAAAATCTGCATAGAAAGTGCAGAGTGCAGTATCAGTACAACCGACCCCATGTACTGGTAAGTGTCGAGCCTAACCTCGACGAAATAGTGACGAGGCTAAGGCAAGGCACCTACAAATCATCCTGTACAATTTAACAGTGTATATATACAAATAACATAAATGAAGAACTAAACAGGAAATGTCGGGAGGGGAACATACTGAGGGGAATACAAGATAAAGAACTACAACAGAATGAACACCAGAGCAGTCAATATACCATGTATCAACAGGAATAGTGAATACAGTAAGGAAAAATGCACGACATCACCCTTCGTGCTTTTACTCTCAATCTCACCATAAAATTAATGGAAACGGCACGGCATCACCCTTCGTGCATTAACTCTCATATCATGGCACGGCATCACCTTTCGTGTATTAACACTGATAATATGGCACGACATCACCCTTCGTACATTAACACTCTCCCTCACCATAATGCAATGCATAAATAACAACAGGGAGATAGAATAACAAGTACAAACCTTACTTCAACATTTGGTTCCATAATATCAATGTTAACTTTGAAATAAAAACTCAATTATCACCAGAAAATCCGTAAACATGATAAGAACGATAAATTGAACAATACTAGTATAACACGTAGCAATTAGGCATAGGAAAGAGACAATATAAGAAAAACCGAGAAACATGGAAAACAGGTAAATTGGCGGCGCATAAGTACTCGTCACCTCACATTGTGATGACCCAAAATGTCATATTTAAAGTTAATTATTAGTTCTGTTTTCTAAGACCTCGAAAAGCACTATTTATCATTTCTCGAATTGTGCGCGCAATCCGTACAATTTTTCGGAAAGTTTTTATGTGAAAAATGGATTAAAATGTGAAATAGAGCCTTAAAACTCAACTAATTTGACTTTGGTCAATATTTTGAGCAAATGGACTTGGATCAGTGTTTTGACAGCTCCGGTAGCTCCGTATCGTAATTTTAGACTTGGGCGTATGCCCGGAATTTAATTTGGAGGTCCCTATCTCAAGTTATGACCATTTAACAGAAACTAGTAATTTAAAGGCTAAAGATCTCCAAGTTTGACCACGGGGTTGACTTTTTGATATCGGGGTTGGAATCTGATTCTGAAAATTGGAATAGCTCCGTTATGTCATATATGACTTGTGTGCCAAATTTAAAGTCATTCCGGATTCATTTAACATGTTTTGGCACAAGATTTGTAAATTAAAAAGTTTTGAAACTCAAAAGTCCGAATCAAGGTGTGAATTGTAATTTCAGCGGCGTTTGACGTGATATGAGACCCCGAGTAAGTCTGTATGATGTGTTTGGACTTGTTGGTATATTTGGTTGAGATCGCGAGGACCTCTGGTGGATTTCGGGTGGTCAAGAACATTTGACGTCATTTATTCAAGAATAAGTGGTATCCCATTAAGAAAATAAATTCAAAATTCAGTGTTGATGGAATCATTAGATCCGTATTGAAATTTTGGAGCCATAGCAAAAAGAATCATCGAATTCGGACAACGTATGAGAGAGTTATGCCCAATTTCGCGTCGGGAAGGATTTTTCGTAGCCGCCAGCGCCCAAGGTAGCGTGGGGCGCTAGCCCTGGCGCTGGGAATTATTATTGTTCCGGAAACTGTGCCACAGGCAGCGCCCCACGCTACCTGTGGCGCTCGAAAACGCCAGAAACCCCATAAAACGGGGAGTTTAGCCATTTTACTCATTTTTGAGTTTGGGGAGCTCGGTTTAGGCGATATTTGGGCGATTTTCACGGAAAAAATTGGGGTAAGTGTTCCTTATCATATATTGATTATATTTCATGATTTCATACTCATTTACATTATGAATCCATGAATTTATGGAAGAAAAATCAGAATTTTACAAAACCTTCCAAAAATGTAAAACGAAGATTTGAAGGTCAATCCGATGTCAGAATTTGATAATTTTTGTATGGTTGGACTCATCTCGGAATGGGTGTTCGGATTTTGTAAGTTTTTTCGAGATTTGAGACGTGGACCCCACTGTCAATTTTTAAAGTGAAATTCAGATTTTTATCCGAAAAATTAGTAAATTCATATGGAATTAATTCCTACGATTTGTATTGAGTATATCGAATTGTTTGTGAATAGATTTGAAGCTTTTGGAGACAAATTTAAAAGGAAAAGCTGTGGTCGAGTAATTTATTGGAATTTGCAAAGCGAGGTAAGTGTCGTGGTTAACCTTGACTTGAGGGAATAGAACCCTTAAATATATTTGTTATGTGAAATGCATGTGAACGACGTATAGGCGAGGTGACGAGTGTCTATACGTCGTCAAATTAATCATTTGCATAATTATTTGAAAATCATTATTTGTTCTAAGACACGAATTAATTGTTATAATAACTATTTCTTTCCTATTCCTTGACAAATATTAATTTTTGAATTCCTGCAATAATTGTTACATGCTATTTGATTTATGTGTATTAATTGCTACTTGACATTTAGCATATTAAATATTAAACTATCTATTTCCTCCCCGATTTTCATAATAAATTGTTAATTGTCATTGCTTGTTTCATAATTAAATCATAACTATTGAATGCTTGTTGTTTTAAAATTTTATATTAATTATTGCATTTATTGGGGCAATTTATTCCATAAGAATTGGTAAATGAATATATTGGAGGATTGGGTTGCGCGTCGCAACATAGTTTATTGAAATGAATATATTGGAGGATCGGGTTGTACGCCGCAACAGACTTGTTTAAAAGTCCATATTGGAGGATCGGGTTGCATGCCGCAACAAACTTGTTTAAAAGTCCATATTGGAGGATCGGGTTGCACGCCGCAACAGACTTATTTAAAAGT